AGATTAATGTGCGCTGAGCAGAGCCATCTTACCTCCTAACTTATAGAGCTATAATTTAACAGGCCTATTATCGTGGAGGTAATTTTGACAGTGCTGAAATATTATACTTGTTAAAAATATGCTTTTAGCGCTAACTGCAGTGGTCATTAGAAGTGAATAAACAGATGGGTATCCCTACAATTATGTTTCTCCTCTATTGATAATTCTTTTTCTACTGGCAAGGCAGTGGTACGCAGACAACTCCTTTTATAATAGCGTACAGCAAGACAGCCTTCCTCAAAGTACAAAAAGCTCACATGTCACTTTCAGTCTACTTTTTACTTCTCCACGAATCATTCAACAACTTGCAAAACATGCTGAAGAGTTCCAGGTTGGAGAAACAACAGTTCAAACCACTACCACCCTCAGGCCCTCCAAAGCCTGTAAGACATCCGGACATCCGAATACTGTTTACATTCGTGAAATCATGCACAACGCCTAATGTCCCACTCAAACAAGCTGGGAACTTCAGTCACAGGGGCACCTCTAGATTTAAGATTATGGAGAATAAGAGAATATATCTTAAAATCTAGTGCCACAATTCACGTTCCCTATCTGCATGACCATAACTACTATGTCCCACCAGAAGAATAAAAACTACAGAAGAAGTCAGTATGTTTTTTCCTCCCCAGTGTCTTAACTCTCATGTAACTCGATCCACAAAGAAAAAGATATACATTTGTATTTTTAATACTGTCTAATGCATAAATAAAGATACACACACAGAGAGCAGAAAAATCAGGTGTGTGCGATGATCTTATTGGCCATTAATCCTCTATCAGCTTTGCACTTCCCTGAGAGAATAAGCAAACATATCTATTCACCAAAGTGTCTCCATTTCTGAAAGCCACGTTAACAAATCGAAAACAGATAAACAAATATTTATCCAGAATCCCTTGGAGTTGATGTATTCAGCCACAGGTTATGTCACCATAATTAGGTCTGAGAAAACAGGACAACTAACTTCTCATCTTCTCTCCAAAACTAAGAAGTATAGACCTGGTGAGAATAAAATGTCTCTGCTAATTCTAACAGCAGAGAAGAAACCAGAAGAAACTGCATGGTCACCTTTTTCTCTAAACTCATATTTAAGAAGAAAACAGAACCAGATCACACAAGCCACCAGCCTTTAGAACTAAAATACAACAGCCAAGATGTTAGTGTCTACCTATTCTACTTATCAGTAGAGAAGCCATTAATTATAAAATCTAAATAACTTTGAAATGCTAAAAATTCCAGAACATTAGGAATATTTCTTTTAAAAAGACTTTAATGTTTCAAACGTAATAAACCGTGAAAATGCTTTTCCAACTGCATATTAAGACATATCAAAATACAAAGACGCAAGGTATAAAAATGGAATTTCCAAGAAAGCTTTCAGATCAAAACCAGGTTTTACCACCAGGTGCTCTTCCATTACATCCCTGACATACTGTAGATAATGCTGCCCTCTTGTGCTGGATAGCGAGACGGAAACCAGATTCTGCCCATCCAAGGAAGAAAGGACTTACATTTCCAATAGAAAATATCTCTTAGTTTCTGAATGACTTACTGCTGACCGGGGATTTGCATTACCTGTTTATGGAGGATCAGACAGAACTGACATGGGACTCAGACAGTAAAATTTTCACTCACAAGAGGCTGAGGCAGCAATTGCCATCCAAACACATTTGCAAATGCACCAGACACTGCTCAACGCAGGCCATGACCAAGATGTGAAGGAGGTGTAGGAACCAACAAAAACTGAGGCCCTGTCATAGATACACACAGCACCATTACCAAAATACATCAAAGAAGGAGAGAATAAAAAAGAGATGGGTGAGAAGGAGAAGGATAAAAAGGAGAAAATAAAAACTATTTGTCATTCTAAGGCCACACACTGGTTTGAAGTTTGCTCATGTAGCTTAAGATTTATCAAGTTAATGAAAGGTCAGTAGACAATAATATATTGTATTATATAAATGAACTAAGACAAATGTCACACAAACAAATGGGTTGAAAATGAGAGTCACTTAAAAATCTTGCCCCTTGGAAAGTGCGATGTGCTTAGAAATCAGTCCTGGGGAATGGTGGTCAGAGAGACCACCACTGATGGGTCTGCCTGGCTCTTCTTAAGTCTAAATAAATGAACCTGAGTCTACAGTGGGGCAGCAATGGGGGACCCTCCATGAGTGTCTTGTTTTCTGAATTAGAACACAAAGGAAGTGTCTTGTTTTCTAAATTAGAACCCACTGATTAAAAACAAGGATGGGCATCTAGGAGGATATAATTGATTAGAGAGATGGCTCATCTGGGCTGGGGGAAGCCAGAAAAGAGAGGGGAAGATCTTTTTATAAACCAAAGCAGGGTCACTGAGAACGTTCTGGCACAAGTGGAACTGGAGATGGGGATGCAAGGAAAGTCCTTTGTGTACTTGACCTGGAGTTTCTGTGCAAGTCACCAGTCTAAGTCCAGCTTGCTGGACATTAGTAAACATCCTTGCTGAGCTCATAGGAAACTCTTACTGACCACTGGGGCTCCTGTGAGAACTTGCTCCGAATACGTAAGTTATTCAGAAGAAAAAAGACAAGTTTCCTGGTCTTTTCCCTGTTCAAAGAACACACCCTGTAACTTGGGCCTGGGGGTAGCAAATGACATTACAACGGTCAGTCATATTCAATAGTACTTAAAAATAGAGCATGCCTACAACTCACTGCCCTAGAAGGGAATTGCTTATATATATTACATAACCCATGAGGTACAATCAATGGGTTTAAATTATGCAGCATAATTTATAGCTTTAACCTTTTACCATTGTAACAAGTGCAAAAACTTCATCCAAATGAAAATTTCACATCTACCATTACAATTTTTTAAATTTAATTTTATACTGTAATTTTTTTCTAAACCTACCAGTAAAAAAGTAAACAATTCATGACCTCTAAATGCTCTGGGCCAAACTAGGCTTCTCTTTGGAGTACTTATTTGAGCTTCTGTTTTGTAGAAAGGATGAAGTCCTGCTAATAGATCTAGAGGGGGTAGAAGGGGTAGTAAGATAAATGCCCGTGTGCTGCTCTAAGATTAGGGACCCAAATCCCTGAATAATAAATAAATCAGCAAGAAGAGAAGTCTACAGGTCTTGGCCATGGAGACGCTGGTTGACTGTAGTCACAAGCGTTTGTAGATCTGTGATAACAAAAAACACACTCCCACTTAATGCTCCAAACTTTACAACTGCAGTTTTCAAATTAACTAGCAAAGAAAAACAACTTATAGCTATTAATAGTACACACAGCCTCCAACCACTTTCTTTCTTTTTGAGATACAGCCTCAAGCTGTCGCCCTGGGTAGAGTGCCATGGCATCACAGCTCACAGAAACCTCCAACTCCTGGGCTCAAGTGAGTCTATCCTGGTGGCACAGGTGCTGGCAGGGAGTTGACAGGGCTTGAAGAGAACTACATGGGCACTGTGGGCCTCCATGGCCAGAACACCCCCCCC